GGAGCCGACCCTATCTTGCGGATCGCTCCCTCCGTCTTGAGCTGGTTGGCAAGGGCCGTGCAGAGCTGGTGGCCATTCTCTCCGAACTCGAACTGGAACCTACACTTGCCCTTGTTGCGTCGGACCCTGAGCACTGGTCCGATGTCCGCCAGAGCCTCCGTGTCGCCTTTCAGTACCACGTCGCGGTAGTGGTCCGTGATCTCTGTGAGCTGCGCGCCCTCCTCGAGTGACTTGCACGGGTACGCGCGCGTCTCCGTCCATACTTTTATCTGCGGGCTGCCCAGACTGCCTGTGCCGATCTGCTCTCCGTTGTACGAGTTTCCCGCTCCGAGGCCCGCTGAAGCGATGTCTGCCGTCGAAGATATTTCCCAAAACTGGAGGAGCGCGGCTGCGAGTCCTGCCTGCTCTCTGGCGACCGTGAGTGTCAGCCGCGCCGTGAGCTCCGTGATCTGCTGCTGGTTGCCTCCGTTGGCTGCGCCACGCTGGAGGGGGGCGCGTTGACGGCTGCGAGCGTCTCGCCGTGCTGCGACCCCGCCTGGCTGCACCACTGCCGCCCGGTTCGCTGGCCTCTGGCCGAACAGCATGTCTAACTCCGAGCGGAGGCTGTAGCAGAGGCTTCGGTCAGTGCGTGCGTAGATGCCGAATGTGCGTACCTTTGTCCAGAGAGACATGACTACAGAGCGGACGCTGAGGGTCATGAGCAGTAGGGGCATGCTCATTTGGTGTTCGGTCCTTGTTACATCCTCCCTTGATTAGACTGCGGGCCAAATGTTTCCAAGCTGTTCCCTTACACGTGAATGCTTGTTGGCACTTCAGGCACTTGTTGTTCGACGTGAGTACTGCTGCTAGATTGTGTACATTGTGTGCACGTAAACTATGACTGTGTAACGCTTTCTTGCTCGCAAATAATAGGCCACATGATTAATCTCCGTGCTTGAGTTCGCATGTCCATGGTTTCAGTTCTTCTAGTGCTAGCTCTTCACGCTGTAAATCTTGTTGGGTATGGCCTGGTGGGGGGACCTCCGCTTTGAGTTTAGCCGCCCGAACTTCCCGTACGTCCGGTAAACATAGTTGCTCTCTAACGTCTAGTGTAAATAGCTTACCCATAGTGATGTTGTCGCCCTCGCCTGTCGCGTTGTAGAAGCTCTCCGAGACCCCGCAAGCGTATCGTACATCCTCCAAGAACCTCTGAGCCCCAGGATTCGAATCGGTCCTGATCGGGTTCTCGTCATCGTCATTCGCCTCGAACTCGACCCTCCCAAAGAGTGCTGCGATCAGCTGTTTGTGGTTTCTGGGATCGCGGATCATGTTTTTTAGCCAGCCGAGGCGGCGCACCAGCGCTTCTTCCGCGGGCGGCAATTTTTCCCAGTGGCGAAATACTTCCGGCGTGCTCAGGCTCCGCACGCTGCCGTCCTCTCTGCGACTGTTGGCGCCGCCTCGCATAGCTCGACGAAGGAGAGCGCCCATGGCACTCTGTAGCTGCTGGCACTCGTACGGCGTGGGCAGGAAGCACTCGATGCACGAGAGGCCCGTGTTGATCACCCTGCAGAGGAGCACCGCTCGCTTCCACCTGTACGGGATGTGGGCCTTGCTCCAGAAGCTCCCGCACTCGTTGTAGCTCTTCTTCATGGCCGCGATGCGCTTGTTGAGCTCTGCTCCGTAGTTCTGCGTGGGGCTGACCTGCGGTCCGAGATAACGCGCGCGTGTCACTACTTTGCTTGGCAACTTGCATGTGGCTTTGGTCTTCACGTCCTTGTGCGTTTTGGTTATGCCGTGGCCCTGGAAGTCAATGACGTTCTCCTGCTTGTCCTGGTTCTGGCGCGTGCCGATCTCGCTGAGACGCTGGTTGAGAGTGGTGCCGACCTTTCTGGCCTGCTCTGCCACGTCCTCTGCGTCGGCGTGCTCGTCTCCAAGGACGATCTTGCGTAGGTCGCCCGCGTACTTGGCCAGGCCTAGGTAGACCGGATGCTGGAAGATCTCGCTGCCGTCGTGCAAGAGGCTGTCGTTTCTCAGCTCCTTCTTGCAAGCCTTGACCCATTCCTGGATGCACGGGGAGAAGCTCGCCACGAAATTGCTGACCATGTAGGGGTCGCCGATGAGTCCTCCGCAATGTGGCTTGACGCAGACTCCGTCCTCGTGATCTCGGCACGGGATGATGATCGTAGTTCTGCGATACCTTTATTCTCCCAAGTCCCTTGAGTCGTCTGGCATGATTTTGCTGTTGGCCTCACAGCTGGCGAATGCGTTGGACATGTCCTTCATCGTCGTGACGTAGTTGTAGCCAGCTTGTCTGGCTCGATATTCTAATCACTGCCATTGTCAAGATGGCGCCCTCCCGTCTCCTGCCTCGGATGAAACCGTAGTCCTGGTCGGTGTGCGTTTGAGCCCTCTGCCGTGCCATGCATGATGAGTAGAATGCTTTGCCGATCGGGTCCATGATTTGGTAGATGCGCTTGCCTGCTGGGCCCAATTTGTTGTTCTTCTTCACTGCTGTAGCCGCGCTCTGGTGCCAACGAGCTGGTGTCGCGTTCTTGACCCTGACGGCTGCCGATGCCGCTCGGAATAGGTCTTGGAAGCCTTCTGGTTGAATCGGTGGTTGGAGCGCCCCCAGTCCTCGTCGCTGTGCTTGAGGCTGGTCCTCGCTGGGGCACAGTAGTACGCGCCAGAGTTCACTTGGCGCGGCTGTAGGCGGTGCCGCCCGTCGGAGTTTCGCTTTCTTAAGTCGCCTCGGGATGCCCTCCCTGTCCTTCTCCACAGTATCTTCCAGGCCGTTGTCGTAGTAGTCTATCTCGTCGGCCGTAATGGGTATCTGCTCCACCGTCTCGCTGTTCTGCTCGGTGCCTTCCATGCCCCCTAATCCTCCTGGTAGTTGCCAAAACTCTAGCCACTCCTGCTTCGTGGGGTTTGCAGTAACCATTGTCCAGTAATCTCGTTTACGTGGTTCATATCTACCTCCCGCGAGCAGCCTGGACAGTCGGCCTACGCGAGCGAGGTCTCGTCGTTCCCATGCCTCGTACAGTTCCCCGGCCCTGGCAGCTGTCTTCTTCTGATACTCTAGTTTGCGCCATGCTGCGCAGGTGGCGGTGATGCTCTTCAGCTCGTGCTCGATGTCGTCCAGGTTCGAGGTAGCTGGAGTGTCGTAGGGGTTGTCTCCTTCGGCTCGTACTGGTAGGTAGTCGACCTTCGCGGCGTCTGCGTCTGCGATCGTGACGCAAAGTGCGTCCCCTCCTCGTCGTAGTCGTTCGCGTAGGTCTCGTCTACGTCTTAGCAGTTCCATGCGTCTGTCTCGTAGGACCTGGTACTCTTCTGGTCTTTGTTGCTGTTGGCCGTAGTACCGTTGTGCCGAAGTGATGATGACCTGGTTCACGTCCACGAACAGCTGGTCGATGCCTTTGCCCTGTACGTCGTAGTTCTCGACCCGGTGCTCGACGTCCTGGATAAATTCGTCCACGTGTAGTCCCTTACGTGCTGCCGCTGCCAGTTTGTCTGTGTCCCATCTTTCTGCAGCTTGTTTGGATCGGACTCTTTGGCGCAATGGAATGCGAACCGTGGTTTGGACTGGTGCATGGTCTTTGTGTTGTCTGCTGCAGGTGTGCTGTAGTCTAGTGCCCATGCGTAGTAGCGGCCCCTGTGAGATGAGGCCGTTGGCCAGCGAGGTAGGTATCATGATGTAGTCAATGCAGCTGGCCGATGTCCCTCCGAAGAATGTGGGTCGCCAGGTACCCGTGGTATTCGTAACTGTGAGTCCATGCCGCTCCGCGTACTGTCTTGCTTTGTGCCCCGCTCCGCCAGGTAGTTTCTCCGTCGCACGTCCTGGTCCCAGCGAGGGGCTCTCTGGGTGATCGTTCTTGCTGGTGATGCCGATGCCGTCATTCAGGTCCCCCGCTGTGAACAGTAAGCTGCCTCTTGGTCGAGAGGCCGCAACTGATTCCATCCATTTGAACAGCCGTGCAATGGTCGCGTAGTACTGCTTGCGGTCCGCTGTCGAATGCGGCTGCGGCGGGCAATAGTAGCCGATAATTGTGAGCTGTGTGTCGTGCTGCTGCAGCTGGAGCGCTAAATCCTCGTCCGCATAGCTCTTCGGGCGGCTCCCGAACGTTGACCACTTGCGCCCCTTTGAGTTTGCCCTGGAGCGCCATCGTTGTGCCCGTGCTCCTGTTGGCGAGCGTGCCCGTCCTCCAGCCCGCGTCGTAGACTCTGGTGCCTTGAATTCTCCGCTGTTCAGGGTACTGCTCTCGACTTCATCTTTGTCTTGTCCCGTCAAGATGATTAAGTCGAAGTTGGTTGTTTCCTCGAAGATCTCCTGCTGCCTGTCTGGGTTCGCGGAGAGCGGATTGAACAGCAGCAGCGCGAGGGACGCTGTCCATGCCGTGGCCGTCATGCGGGCCTCTGTCCAGTCAATCCTTCCTCCACATGCTGTGGAATGGCGGGGTGCGTGCGCGCGCTGCCCTGACAATCTCTCAGGCCCAGATGGCAGCTGAGGAGGAGGAGGAGGAGGAGGAGGAGGAGGACGAAGACGAGGAAAAGGAGGAGGAGGAGGAAAAGGAGGAGGGGGAGGAGGAAAAGGATGCGGATGAGGAGGATAAGGAGGAGGAGAACGGAGGAGGAGGAGGAGGAGGAGGAGGAGGAGGAGGGGGAGGAGAGGACGAAAGGAGGAGGAGGAGGAGGAGGAGGAGGAGAGAGGAGGAGGAGAGAGGAGGAGGAGGAGGAGGAGGAGGAGGAGGAGGAGGAGGAGAGAGGAGGAGGAGGAGGAGGAGGAGAGAGGCGAAAGGAGAAGCACGAGAAGGAAAAGGAGGAGGAGGAGGGGGGGAGGAGAGAGACGAAAAGGAGGAGTACGAAAAGGAGAAAGGAGGAGGAGGAGGAGGGGGAGGAGAGAGGACGAAAGGAGGAATACGAAAAGGAGGAGGAGGAGGAGGAGAGTACGAGAAAGAGGAGGAGGAGGAGCAGGAGGAGGAGAGCACGAGAGCCAGCGGCGGGAGGGGCAGCCGCGCGGCCCCCAGGGGGACGTGTACACCTGGGGCAACAACACCGACGGCCAGTGCGGCCAGGCTGGGGCGCCCTCGGGGGGAGCGCCGGCCTTCCACTCGTCGGCCTCGGTGCTCGTCGCTGCTGTTTCTCCTCCTCCTCTTGCTCCCCCTCCTCCTCCTCCTCCTCCTCTTCTCCGTCCGCATGTTCCTCCTCCTCCTCCTCCTCCTCCTTCGCCTCCCACTTTCCTGTGTCCTCCTGTTTCTCCTCGTGCTCCTCCGTCTCCCCCCTCGCGTTTTGCTTGTGCTCCGTTCCTCCTCCCCGCGGCCGTCCTCTCCCTCCTCGTGCTCCCCCCTGTTCCTCCTTCCCTCCTTCTCTTCATCTGCTCGTTCTTTCCTCGTCCTCCTCCTCTTCCTGCTCTTCCTCCACTCCTCCATTCTCTGGACGGGTCCAAGCAATCAGTGCTCATAGTGTCAATGTCGAACAGATCTCGTTCTTCCTTTTTTATTCCTGTCCATCGGCGCGCAAGGAACATTTCAGATCGGCTCCTGTCCCTCGTCCCACTCCTCTTTCTCTCCGGCTGCTCCAGGTCATCAGCTCGTCGGCGCTCAAGCCTCGGGGAAACGAATGTCTCGAACTTCTGGCGCTTAAGTTTTGTGATGTGTTGGCAGCGGGAGCTCGCGCCAGGTTCTAGACTGGGCCCCGCCGCTGTCCCGACGGCGCCCGCCGAACTCGAGCCTCTCACGGTCGGCAGCGTTTGCGCAGCATGTCGCGGCCGCCCGTTCTGGCCCGCCACGCTTGGGCGCCACGCGCGAACCGCCACCCAGTTCCAAGCGCCCACGCCCCGCGGCTTTCCTTGGCATCGCTCGGATGCGTGCATCTCTTCTCGGCGAGAACCATCGAGGACCATCCTGGACCATCGAGCAAAAAAACCACGCACGAAACCGAAAAAATGCACGGGAAATGGACGTCCGAGCGACGGCAAGTTCCCCGGCCCTCCCGCCCCGCGGAGCGGAGCGGCACGCCATCTGCTCGCAGGATACACCGCGTCTCGCTGGGGCCGCCGCCGCGACGCGCCGAGAGACGGCTTCTGACCGCACGCCTCCCCGACGGGTAGCTGCTCGGGTGGGCCATTCCTCCTCCGCCCCCGCGCCGCCGCCGCCGCCGCCACGGAGGTGGCAGGCAATGGCCGAGCTGCCGCCAGGTGGGTCGGTCCTGGCCGCCCGGCGGCCCTTGCGCGCAGGGCGCGTCGCCCAGGGCATCTTGAAGTCCACCTCGGGTTATCCTCCTGGTCCTCCTCCTCCTCCTCCTCCTCCTCCTACTCCTCCTCCTCCTCCTCCTCTCCAGGTGTCGAACGTCTGGGGAGCGCAAGGCGGGCTCGTCTTCCCCTTTTTGGTTCGGCCTCTGCGGTCCTCGCGGGGCCCCGCGGGACTGTCGGAGAACGGCTCGGGAGGGGACGCCAGTCTTGGGGAAAGGGTCGAGGCCTCCGGGGATCCCGGACTGAAAAAAGAGAGGAGCAGGGAGGAGGAGCAGGGAGGAGGAAGGGGGGGGGGGGGACGAGGAGGTACCCAGGCATCCGACGGTCGGATGCCTGGGTACCTCCTCGTCCACCCCCTCCTTCCTCCCTGCTCCTCCTCGTGTCCATGTCTGCCCCCTCCCTGCCCCATGCCTTCTCCCCCTCCCTTCTCCTCCTCGTGTCCATGGGAGACTGGGGAGACGTAAAGGGGCGGGGTGGAGGAGGGGGTGCCGTTGCACATGATGATGGCGGCTCCGTCTGATTTCTGGGGCCAGCTGTTGCTCGATGATCCTGAGTGCTGGCATTCCCTCCCGGCCAAGCATGGAGCTGTCAACCACGATATACTGAATCCTCGTGGTACCCTCACTGGTTCGTCATGCGTGGTGTTGGGCGGCTCAGCCTTAGATTGCGCAGTCAGCGTAGCTGCAAGGTCTCTCGAAGTTTCTGGACGTGCCAAGGTAATGAAACCGAACATTCTAGCCCTTCTCGTGCACCCAGGCTCTTTTGGAGCAAGAAAGGGTCTTCGTTCCTTATTCAGCGTTCTTCATTTCAGCAGCCCGACTGTATTCTCGCTGCTGGAGCGTTCATAGCAATTTCCAACGTGTGCGCGGCCTGTGCTGGTTTCTCTGCGTTTGCATCGCGGGTTGGCCTCGCAGTGGCACTGTGCCGTTTGTTCGCTGCGAAGAGTTCGCGGGCGTGAGCTTCAAGGCCCTCAGGTGTTGGGTGCCAAGATGTGTCTTTGTGATTTGGAGCTGGCGCGAGGTCTGAGAGAAGTTCTGTTTGTTTTCTGTGTTACCCTTGTGTTCTTCGCGTGTGGGATCTCCACCTTGTAGTGCTCGTCGGCTTCGATGCCACCACGGGTGTTCTGGCTTGTGGCGAAGGGTTGCAGGTGCTTGGCCCACATTAGTGTGGTTTCGTTCCGATTGTAGCCGTTTAGATGCGTTTGCATACGTTCCACACAACATCGCCAAGAAGTTCCGATCAACATAATCGCCATCATCATGATCCTTTGTCTGTCCACCCTCCTCCTTCGCTCATCAATCCTCTCTCCACCCTCGTCTCCCTCCGCCGTCCCCCCTCCACCCAGGAGTGAGGAGGAGGAGGAGTAGGAGTAGGAGGAGGAGGAGCAGGGAGGCGGGGAGGAGGACGTGGAGGCAGAGAAGTGACGATACTCAACCTGTGATCTATGGCAGCGCTCGCTTTGCAGGCTCGCCTTGTAAGCTGCCGGCAACCGCGTCGCCCCTTAAGGCTCGGCAGAGGCAGCGCAGGCTCAAGCCAGTATGCTCCTTACGGGGCAGAGGATTTGGGGTCGCAGGGGGGGCAAATAATGCGGATCATGCGGACAGAGGAGGCAGGATGCGGAGGACATGGCAGAATGTATAAGTTTAGTGCCTCCCAAGATCAGGACCCCGTGAGGCGTCCAGAGGCTTCCTTACGTAAACAGCAAACACGTCCAACGTCCTCGATCGTCGATCCTCGATCGTCGTGGGCATAACTTAGCACATAGACGGAGTCCGAGCACAGGAGAGGACGACGCCCTCTCTCCTCCCCTCCTCCCCGTCCTTCTCCACCTTCTCCTTCTCTTCCTCCTCCACCTCCCGGAGAAGGAGGAGTCGGCGAGGAGGGGGGAGGAGGAGGAGGGGGAGGAGGAGGAGGAGGAGGAGGAGGAGGAGGAGGTGGAGGAGGAGGAGGAGGAGGAGGAGGAGGAGGAGGAGCAGCACGAGAAGCAGGAGCAGGAGGAGGAGGAGGAGGAGGAGGAGGTGGAGGCGGACAGAGAGTAGAGGGCAGAGGACGGAAAGAGGAGGAAGAGGTGGACAGAGGAGGAGGTCGCCCCCTCTTCTCCGCCCCCGTCGCCGGCCGCCCCCCTCGAGGGACAGCGCTGCCCCGACCACAAGCTGATCTACGTCGACCCGCACATGCAGCGAACGGCCTTCCGCCGCCCTTCGCGGCGCGGGCGGGGCCCTGCGGAGAGGGAGGGGTTCGGGGAGGGAGAGGGGGCGGATCGAACCCCCCCTCCTCCCCCTGCCTCTTCCCCCTCCGATCGTGGCACGAGCCGCCTCGTGTCCGGCAGCCCTCGGCTTCCTCCGCGGGCCCTTTCCCGAGACCCCTGAGCATGTTCAGGCTCATGCGAACGCACGGCTCAGCAATGCTTTTTTTGCAAGTAATATGATGCTCCGCAGTAGCTCATGGTTCTCCCTAGTTTTATTCATTTCTTTGAACAAATCACGCGTTGCGCAGCCATGTATTACGTGGGCGATGCCCAGATCCACCGTGCGCATCCAGTCAGCACTGCAACGCTCAGATATGAACCCTGGCAAGTTGAAGATCCCGCTATCGGGTATTCCAGACGCGATCCGCCGAGAACATCGGCAGTGGTGACTGGGCGAGATCTTCAGGGCGCCTCGACTCCAGTGTCACCGAGATGGTGGAGAGTAGCTTCGGATTGCAAGCAACACTGCATGAAGGCGTCGTCGCTCCAACCCTGGAGCCCGAGGCCCTGCTTCAGCCACTGCCTTGCCCAAGTCATGCGCAGCACGCGCCCCGTCGTCTGGAGGCGCCCCCGTCGGAGTCCCCGAGCATTGTCGCGGACATCCGAGTTTTTATGTTTATGCGACTTTTTGTTCCCCTGCTCACCCCCTCCTCCCCCCTCCTCCCCCCTCCTGCCCACATGCTCCCACCGAAGCCGCTCCACACAGCACCGGCCGATCCTCGCGCGCGTGGGCAGCAACCGAGGCCTTAGAATTCGCCAGAGGACGCATCGTTCGGACCGCAGTTTTCTGTCTCTCCTGCTGCGACCTGCTATGCTTAAATCGGGCGTGTTCCTCAACAGGAGGAATGTTCAAAAATAGTCCAGAAATCGTATGGGTACGATTTCTCTACAATGTTTGACCATTTTTGGTTATTTGTTTGACTATTTTTTATTTTTCGTCCAAAATCCGCCTGTACGGGGACATGCCCGACCGAACCTTCATTCGCCAGGGGACGCATCTTTCGGACCGCAGTTGTCTGTCTCTCCTGCTGAGAGCTGCTATGCAGGGCTGCGCCTCTGATTTTGTATTTTTTCCACGTGCTTCCGGGACAACGAGAGGGGGGGATAGGCATATGGGGGGATGCATCGACCCCCAATTCCCCATTGATCGCCGATAGGGGCCCGACGGCCCCAACCTGCACAGGAAGGTGCGGATTGACCATCGGGGGCCTGTCGCCGATCTATCATCGATGTATCGCCGACTCCAGGTCGATGCATCCCCCCCTATGCCAGTCTATCCCCTATCGCCGCCCCCCAGTGCTGTATCCCCGTAGTACGAGGAGCTCAATCTTCAATTTTTTTTCTGTTGTTGAGTCATCCAGCATGGGGCTGTGGAGGACGATCAATGGAGAGGAAGCATGTTGCCAAATCCTTTCAAGATGTCTAAAACCTGTGTTTAACATGTTTTAAACATGTAAAACACATGTTAAAACATGTTTTGAACCTTTTTCCGATATTTAAAACACATTCTAAATTCAATGATAGGATTGTCAGGGTGTCCATTGTCGTGGCATCCACAAGCATGGGGGCCACGGGCGGCCCAAGGAGCCTCGCAGGGCAAAAAGCACGGCCCGGCAGGCCCCCAAAGACGCCCCAAGAGGCCCCCAAGAGGACTACCAAGAGGGCCTCCAGAGGCAGAAGTTGCCCCATTTCTGTAGCCAGAGTGAGGGAGGGGGCCGAACGGTCATTCATTGTCCTTGGGTGCGTGGCTGGAGAAGGGATCCGTGGTGAGGATTCTGCTTGTTGCGTTCTTGTTGCTGCTGCCGTTTGTTGTTGTTGGTGTTGCTGTTGTCCCCACCGGACAGATTGGGGTCGTCATGTTTTAAGGACAGACTTCCCGGCCACTCCCACCCTGCATACCGCGGCCGCCAGACCCCAAGTTGTCCCGAGAGTCCCGGTTATCCCGCCTCGCGCCCTCGACAAACACGACAGAACACACCCTGCATACCGCGGCCGCCAAACCCCAAGTTGTCCCGAGAATCCTGGGTATCCCGCCTCGCTCCTTCGACAAACGCGACAGAACACAATATGACACAACAGAACATGACAGAACAGAGCAAGAGCATGACATACCATGGCATAACATAACGTATCAACATCATGACAAAATAGAGGACACCAGCATATCACATAACATACCAGAACAGAACATGACAGATCAGCAAACGACTGAACACACCATAATATAACATAACCGAGCATAACGTGAGACACATTGACGGAACATATCACAGCGTCACCAAATATATCATCAGACGACAGCAGAGCATAGCGGATAACACGCCATACCACACCATGTCACACCCTAACATACACAACACGAGCATGCCATGACATGACAGAGCATAACACAGCAATACCATGACAGCAAACTATAATGAACATCACATAATACAGCATACCATAGCATGGTAGAACAGAAGGCGAGATAACACAACATAGCATGACATAACCGAGGAGCACATCAGACACCTCGGCAGAGCATCCCACATCATTGCACTTCATCGCTGAACATATCATAACCCGACAGTGTAGCACATCGCCAAATATTAGCATAGCATGTCATACTGTATGTTATTGTTCGGAGCTGCCCACAAACACAACATCACATAACATTCCAGATCATAACATGATATAACATAGGACGACATAAGCCAACATAACACAATATAACCGATCAACACATAACCCACGATGGCAGGACACATCATATCATGACACATCATCACATATCATATCATAACACTGCGCCAGAGCATTGCGAAACATACTAGCAGAGCATATCATAGCATAATGTGCTGAGCCGAGCCATCAACAGCATCACGGACCATATCATCGTATAACATAATATGTCAGCATACCATGCAATAACATAGTGCCGCAACGCAGATCATACCAGATCATTTCCAACCATATGGTGACAGATATCAGCCAACGTGCACCCATGGATGTCGGATACCCACGAGCGGGGGGGGCTCCGCCTGGGGCCGCCGCGCGCCCCGCGCATGCTCGGGGGAGCGAACAAGACGAGGGCGAGGGGGAAAGGAGGGGGGGCGAGGCGCATGATGAGGAAAGAGGACGAATCACAGGGCGAGGAGGGAACGGAGGAGGAGGAGGAGGAGGAGGAGGGGGAGGAACGAGGACGATGAGAAGGAACAGGAGGAGGAAGGAGAGGTCCGCCTCACCACCTTTTTCCTCCTCCTCCTCCTCGTCCTTCGTTGTCCGTCTCCTCCTCGTGGTGCTGCTGCTGTGCCTCCTCTTCTTCTTACTGGAGGTTGATATTATCTCAGAACAAGTTTCGGGGTATCGCAAGAATCGTTTTGGGCTTGGTTTTGTCTTCGTCAGGGGGCCTTGGGCCTGTTAGAATTCGGAAACCATCAACTTGCGACCTGGCCCGGCCGCCGCGCTGGCCAACGCCGCCGGGCACTGCGCACATCCTTCCAGTAGGCGCGCGCACCGTTCGGACCAAATTCTGAAGGTTTCGGTGTCGCTCGAAACAAGATGTTGTTGTTTTTGTTGCTGTTGTGGTTGAACTCTCACGTCAGAAGAATAACTATTGTTGATCCCCCCCGCCCGGTGCACATTGTATTCTTCTATTGAAGTGCCCTCCCCGGGCTCGCACCCTGTTTTTTTTGTATCGGGGGCCCCCAGACGGGATGGTGACCACACCGTGTGGTGAGTCGGTGGGGATTCGGTGTCACCGCACGGTTTTGAGACTCGGGTCGTTCTCCGAGGACGTCTCGGGCGACTGGGGCCTCCGAGGTCCCAAGACCGTGCGGTGACGTACCGTGCGGTGAGGTCTTAGGGGATTTCAAGGTCACTGCACGGTCTGTCACCGCACCGCTTGCACGGTCTGTCACCGCACCGCTTCGGGACTCCAAGTTTTATCAGGGAAAGCCTTGAGGCTCAAACTGTGTCGTTGGCCCCGGGTTTACATCAACAACGGCTCCCGCCTGATACGTCCTCACAATGTATGAAAGAATTGCGTTCTCGCTTGGGACTTCCTGGCAATTTACAATCGAATCGCGGCTCCCGCTTGATATTTCTTGACAATGTATTGCAGAATCGCGTTGTCGCTTGGGACTTTTTCGCGACTTACCACCGAACCGCTTCGCTTGATATTTCTTCACAATTTATTAAGATGCCGCTCCTCGACACTCAGGAATCGCGCTCCCGCTACAGATTGCCTGGCGGTTCAAGCAGGACTCACGCTTCAACGACCCGCCCGCTCGACCCGCCCGTCGGGGCCTGCCCGCCCGACCGTCCAGCCCGTTAATGACTGCAGTCGCCGTTCGCTGCTTTTCGCCCGCCTTCGATGCCCCTCGCTGCCCGTACTGGTTCGGCGGTCGCCTTCGCTCGTTGCTCTTCGTGACCCCGTTGTTGCCCTCAGTGGCTCCGTCGCTGCCCTCTGTGGCCCCGCATTATATGGCCTTCGTGGCCCCCGCTCGCACGCGCCCGTCGTAGCCCCATACGCATGCCCTTCGTAGCCCCGCTGTCGCTTTTCGTGGCCCCTTTGCTGCCCTCAGTGGCACCGTTGTTGCCATGTGTGACCCCGTATACGAATGCCCTTCGTGGCACCCGCTCGCACGCGCCCGTCGTGACCCCATATGCATGCCCTTCGTAGCCCCGGTGCTGCCCTCAGCGGCCCCGTCGCTGCCCTCTGTGGCCTCGGATGTTCTGCCCTTCGTGGCCCACGCTGGCTTTTCTCACGATTTACTTGGGAACCGCGTTATCTCTCGAGACCTCGCGATTCTTGCAGGACCCACGCTTCAGCAACCCGCCTGCTCGACCTCGTCGCCTGGGCCCGCCTTCCCGACCTGCCCGCTATGGGTCTGCCCACCCGATGTGCCCGTCTGGTTCTACCACTTGTGTTCTGCTCCTTGCCCCCCTCCTGCGAAG